ATATTATATTTATACATTTTTACAATTATCTTTTAATATTTAAATATTAATATACTCTTTTAATAGTTTATTTAAAATAAAAGTTTAATTTCATAGATAAAAATTTATTAAAAACAAATACAAACCATACAAGTGCTTAGGGATGGTAAAATAGCCCGAAGCCGACGGGTTTCGACTATACCCTATAGGGGCAGAGTTTTTTTTTTAAAAATTTTGGGCTTTGGGGCGGGGCGGGACGGATTATATGATAAATAATTTTGGGGTGGGTCAGGACTGGGTTTAAGGTGAAAAAAATAGCCCGATCCGACCTGATTTAAATTATTAATTTTCTTTTATATTTATATAATATATTTAAGATTTTAAGGATTTTTTTATTATTAAAATATATTCTTTAATTATTAAAAATATAAAAATTATTATATAATATATTATTTTAATAATTTAAAATATAATAAATAATTATAAATATATTATTTTAAAATACTAATATATTTGGGTTTGGTTGCTTTTTTAATCTAAAAATCGGGCGGAGTGGAAAAATATTAGAATTTATTGGGGCGAAGTCAGGTTTAAATAATACAATTTTGGGTTGGGATCGGGGAGGCAAAAAATCTGCCCCGTCTCGTGCCTATCCCTACAAGTGCTATCATACTGGATAATGGGTAATAACAATTATAATATTAATGAACAACATATAAATAATATCACTAAAAATATATCAAAGTTATCATATTTTAACATAAAAAATTCATTATACATAACTTAGAAATGAAAAAAAAATACATAAATATAAATATAAAAATTTAATTCTTATAGTTCACCACCAAAATGAATGTTGTATGGTAAATGATGATCAAAATAATTTAATTTTAAAACGTGAATAAATAATTTAATTTTAAAACAACGTTAATAAATAATTTAAGTAATTCAAATTTAAATAACTAATTTTAAACATAACTATTACGATATTATTCATTATATATATTTATAATCTATTTTTAAGGATTAAATAAAAACATTTCATCTATGTAATTTTATACTTTGGATAATTTAAAGTTTGTTGCGGTATTATGGCGTTACGGCACAATTTATAGCATGTTGCGGCTTTACGTTAACGGTTTAAGACCACAATAATCGTGATACAGTTTCCTTATCGTATTGTGCCGATATTACATCGTGATAACCTTCAAAATCATTACGATACGAGCATTACATTACATTGCGGTTGTATGACACGCGTCGTTTTTCGTGTCAAAATAATTCATTCCTCTCAAATAATAAATTCATGATAGGTAATTTATTACTTTTATAAGCAAAAGGTTATGAGAAAAAGAAAGAGCAGGAAAGGACAATAAATAAGAAAAAGAAAGGAAACAGAAAAATATGAGAGAGAAACTTCCTTTTATGTGTTCATATTGTTTCTTTACAATTATACGAGGAGAGGATTAAGTTTAAGGGATAAGAATTGTAATTAAAACAGTTATAACCATTACATCTACTAGTTTTAGGGGTTGTTTGTTTGGCTCTGAATAGAATCATTCAGCGCTGAATGTTGAACCGTTCAACATTCAGACTGTTTGTTTCTCACCTCTGAATGATTCAGTGCTAAACTGATTCAGCAAAACAGTGTATGATTCAACACAGAAGTATATTCTGAATGATTCAGAGTCATTATCAAATAGTATGTCACATTCAGAGCTAATTCATACAGAGTCTCTGAATCATTCAGCATTTGAATTATTCAACGTTTAATCATTCTGAAGTAAACAAACAACCCATTAGTCTAATACGGGAGAAAGCTTAATTATTGAAATAAATTTTAGGGTAAACTTTTAATTTTTTTCAAAATCACACCTAACGTTTAATTTTCATTTTATTTTAGTATCCCGTTAAAAGTACTTAAACTATCAATTTTGGTCCATTTTAGTACCTACACTTTTAATTTTTTTCAAAACTTAACGTTAATTTTTGAATGAAATACTAAAATGAAATAAAAACTAAAGCTTTTAATGGTGGAGTACTAAAATGAAATAAAAATTAAACTTTAGATAAGATTTTGAAGAAATTAAAAGTTTAAATATTAAAACATATCAAAACCGATAATTTAATCAATAAACGTGTGGTTTACCCAAAATTTTATAAGCGACAAAATGTTTATCACAATAACGTAGTGTATCCGGTCTCAAACTTTTAAAGATCTTTTGCCCATTTTTTAATCTATTGATTCAACATGGCTACCCCATTTTCCTTTTGGGGGTACATGGTTTGCAGAAAACACTGATAAAATAATATAAAATAATTCACTATATAAATAAATTATTATTTATTCCAATTAAGCACTCATCAATCAAAGCATGACTAATTAGTCCCTTAAGTTATAAGGGTTTACTTGAATATTTTTTTATTCATAAGCATTTTCTATAATCTAAAATTAAAACTATATGTTATGAATGTCCAATGAACAAATAGAAATTGTAAGTAGATAAGAACTCAGGGTTGGTCTTGACTATTTTTTGGCTCAGGACGAAATTAAAAATATGAGCCCCTAATTAAAAAGAAATTTAAGAAATATATAATATTAAATTTCTATTAAATTTTTTATTAAATAAACAAATAATAATTTATTACAATATTAAAAATGTCAAAAATATATTTAAACATACAAATACTTATAAAAAATATTGCATTGGAGCATTTCTTGATGCAAAATTATTGATGATATTGTCAACATTAATATTTTCCAACATATTTTTCTCAATACATAATATTTGGAAATAAAATAACGATCTTATCTAAAATTTAGAAATATATAATAAAAATCAAAAAGAAAGAATTGGAAGCATGATCTTACCTAAAATTTCAATAACAATCTTCAATATGATTCAAGCACCACAATTGATGATAAACAACTATGACTTTGTGTTTGTGAGAAATATTAAAAATTAAAAAGTGAAAGTAATAATTTTTAGAGGAAATGTGAAATACGAAAGAGAAAAGAAATAAACTAATTATACTTAAAAATACCAAAATGTGAGAAATGTTTTCTCATTGAGTTTTGAAGAGGAAAATAAATAACGTTAATAAAAATTTTCATTGATATGGAAAATCGAGAAAGAGATTTGGTGCATTGATGGTGGGAATTTGGAAAGACCAAAATTAAAGAGATTCAATTGATTTTTTTTTAATTTTGGGAAAGAAATATTAAATTAAAGTTTTATGTGAAATGGAACAATTTATTAATAATATTACATTAATATGAAAATTTATATTAATGTAATAATGACAATTGATACCTTAAAAAACTCATGGGTCTTATTATTTTATTTTTAAATTTTTTAAAATTTATTATTAAAAATAAAGGAAATTTTATACTAAATATTTTTTTTTAATTTATGGGCTCTGGAGGAGTGTGTCTCCTCGTCCAGAGCCAACTTTGTAAGAACTTACATATTCCTCAATGTAGAATACTTTCATTATCATCAAAATATGACTTAATATTTTCTCTTTCATACAATTATTATTTTATTTTTATTTTTTTAAAAAAATTAGTTTGTTAATGCTAACAATCTTTATTTTTTTCAGTAGTTTTATTTAAGTACTATTTGATTAAAGTAGCAAAATGAAGGAAATGACTCATACTGTTAAATTAAGATTTCATTTGGTATGGTAATTGATTTGATTTTATATATACTCTAATAATTTTTAATCATTAATTATCAGGTGCTATAAAAAAATCTTTAAAAAATCCTAGCGGCTTTCTCCTCCTCCTCGTTTTTTTTTTAACAATTAGTGTTGATCAATCCAACTTTTTCTTCTTTAATTTTGTTTAATCGACGGCGATACTGATTTTAATGTTGTTTGCCGCCCGTCGATTATTTTTTTTTTGATTTTTTTATTAAGAATAATTATGTATTTGTAACATGTTATCTGCCTTTATGACACGTTTATCTCTACCTTTGTGACATATTTTTCTCTGCCTTTTGGTAGCTTATGGTTTTTTTCTGTTGTTTTTCTTTATCTTTTTTCTCAAGGTTGAATTTGACATCGTCAAGACTGATCTAGATAGCGCTTATTTATTATCACGATGATCTTCCATGCTTAAGACCCTCGGATTGTTTTGGATACGTGTTTTGCGTTCGTAGATAGTTTTCTTACGTTGCTTGACTCTGATTTACGATTTATCGATAATCTTTTAGTAGCTTCATCCTCTTTTGTGGTTCGTTTAACGCAATCAGATTTGTTCGTATCTTTATTTTATTCGAGTTTTTTAGTTATGTTTTTAACATTTTCCTTCTTTAGTCCTTATGTGATATAGGTGGCTAATTTTTGTCTTAAAGATAATAAGAAAATGTCATAATTATATTTTAGGTTTATAGTAAGTAAATCTTCATTGTAATTTTAAATATTTTCTATTTTTATTAAAACTACCGACTTTCTATAAAAAATTATCAAGTGCTATAAGAATTATATTCGCGTGTATACACGTCAAAAATGTTATTAAAGTCTTAAATCAAATAATAATACTTCAAAACAAGTATCAACTTATTCTTTCTTGAACGTTATAGTAAATATTAAATCAACTAATTAATTTGGGATAAGTATAAAAAAATATGTTCAAATATAACTCTCTGACCTCTTGACATTAAATCTCGTACCCCTGATATTCTCGGTGCTTGAATACATATCCACAAGAAATAACAACAATTCATTTACTACGTATGTCACTTAATTTGTGCTATCAGCTAATTAGTTAAGACTCAATTAATCATATATGTGTTATATTTTTTCATTATATTATTAATTTATTAATAAAATGAAAATTTAAAATTTAAAATTAATAAAATTTTATTCAATATATGAAATAACATGATTTCCTATTATACATAAACAAGATCATATATTACAAAAAAAAAACCCTGAAAACATAACAGGCCAAGCCTGCGTGAAAAGGCTATGTAGCCTATAGCAAGCCCATGAATACCTTTAGCTTGTCCGAGACACTTCAAAATTTCGAATTGTATTTAAATGGATAGGAACTGGGAAAGTTAGCTCTTCAAAAACCCCGGCAAAAACCTTTGAAAAAATTTCATCTTTAACAATGGATTTGGACCCAGAAGATGTTTTCAAGGACGAAGAAGATGACCCAGATAACGAATTCTTTCAGGTTCCCTCTCTCTCCCTCTCTTTCATTTCCCTTCTTCTGTTTTCTTCTTCATAGTTAAGAAATGAGAGGTGTAATTGTTTTTTTTTGTCCAATATTTGCAGCAAAGCGAGGGTTCCAAAGAATATGTTGTTTACTTGGTCGATGCTTCTCCGAAAATGTTTAAGACGACTTCTCCTGGTGTAAGTTTTATTCGTAATTGATACAGATAGAAAATACCCATTTGCTTTTCTTTACTGGTTTTTCTTTTCCCTTTTTAAGTTTTTCTTCTCCTTTTTATCATGCTTATTTTAGTCTGGGACTTGAATACCAGTAAATCAGTTGGTTTTCTAATTTTTTTTAATGGATTGATATGGTAATTAAGCTATTACATGATGGATATGTCTTTTGACCAATCTCTAATTGCCTTCTTTTTCACTTGAAATGTAATCTGACTTGCAGTTGTTGATTTTTTTTTGAAATGTTGACAGAAGGATCAAAAGGATGAAACTCATTTCCACGTCGCTGTCAGCTGTATTGCAGAATCACTCAAGACTCAGATCATTAGTAGATCATATGATGAAGTTGCAATTTGCTTCTTTAACACTGTAAGATGCAATTCTTGCCATTTAGGTTGATATGTTTTTTACAAAAGAAAAGTTACTGTAGTTAGAACCTCTAGTCTTGCTGTACGTAAAAAGACAGGGCCGAGGCTTTCAACTTAGAGCACAGAGTAAATAAATGATTGCACAATTTTGAGATGTGGCAATCGACTAAGGATTTGACTTTATCACCTCGTGCCTTTTCCAATTTAAACCAGAGGATGAAACAGAAGAGTAACTAAAGTGGATGCCTGTGGTTTATTTGAACCTTGTTTGTATTTTAACTAGTTCAGTGTGGTTGGAAGATGCGCGACTTAAGTAGCATGTGCAAAAGGATGTATGTGTTTCTAGTGGAGGCGTTTCCCAGTCTGAAATAGGCTTTGTTTGGTGTAATTTGCTGTATGCTCAGAATGTATGCTCTTTAAGTCCCTGTCATATGTTTTCTTACTATTTTGTGTTCTTTCCGCAGAGGGAAAAGAAGAACTTGCAGGATTTAAATGGTGTTTTTGTTTACAATGTTGCCGAAAGGGAGCAACTAGACAGGCCAACAGCTAGGCTTATAAAAGAATTTGGCTGTATAGAAGGTAGTTTTAATTGCATTATTGGTGATTAATGATGAAAATTTGATTCTGAGCTTGTGCATGCCTTCTTTGACTTAGATTGTTTCTACAACAATACCCTTGATGATTGTGAAGTGCTACTTTTAAAAGGCTCATCACATTTTCATTAAATTTACTAAATGCAATATTTTATGTTCAATTTTACAATTTTTTCTTAAAACTATTTTGCAGAAACATTTATGAAGGAAATCGGGAGTCAGTATGGTATTGTTCCTGGGTCTCGTGAGAATTCCCTTTACAATGCCCTCTGGGTTGCCCAAGCTCTTCTTCGTAAAGGGTATGGGCTATGGATACCTGTTATATTTGTGTTATGATAAAGCAGTGCATGTTTTAGTTCTTCCTTTGTTTCCCAAGGTTACTGCATCTGTTTTTTGTTAGTTTTTGACAGCAAAACTCTTTCAGGTCTATTAAGACTGCTGAAAAGAGAATTGTTCTCTTTACTAATGAAGATGATCCCTTTGGGGGTCTCCAGGATGCTGCAAAAAAAGATATGACAAGAACTACATTGCAGCGAGCTAAAGTAAATTAAATATAAAGTTGCACATGCTTAGTGGTTTAGTATTCTGAGTGCATTCAGATTTATTTTCTTTACAATGTTATGTCACCAGCATTTTTCCCTCTCTTATTGTTCCTCTCCAGGATGCACAAGATCTTGGAATCTCAATCCAACTTCTCCCCTTGAGTTGTCCAGATTCGGAGTTCAATGTTTCTGTTTTCTTTTCTGTATGCTTATTTGTTCACCTTCTGTTTTCCTGTGCAGATTGAATGGGTGGTTTATATTTTTTCTTCGGATAATAATCTTTTTTGTCTTTCAGGATTTGATTGGGTTAGAAGGTCAAGATCTTGCTCAATTTACGCCATCTGCCAGCCAGAAGTATGTATTTATGGTTTTCTATAACATTAATTTCATCATCTTTTTTCAACTACCATTGCCATCAAGTGAACTTAAAGTCAGAAGGGAGTCACTATCTCGTGCATTGGCATAAATGCATGTTGGTCAGTGGTGACAATGTTGTTATGGAATTAGATTGCATTGATTGCAACAATGAGTTGGTCATGCTCAAAAAGTACGGCATGAGTTATGATGAGATTTTTTTTTTTGATGCTAAATTATGAGTCCCACTCTTTTCTTCTATATGACAGAGGAGGTTGCTACATTCTGCTCACATATAACTCCTTCTTGCAAACATTTTTTTAAATACTCATGTTCTACTCTTGACATTCCATTTTAAGGTTATGTTCATAATCTGAATCCAGATTGGAAGATATGAAAGATCAACTGAGAAAACGTATATTCCCAAAGCGGATTGTTAGAAAGATTAGATTTCATATTGCTAATGGATTATCAATTGAGCTGGATACTTATGCTATAATTCGTCCCGCACTTCCAGGTAGATAATTCTACATGTTCGATTTGAATTTTGAATGTCAGGTGCTATGCTAGTTAACTTTTTCCCTATCACTTTTCTATGTTCCCAGGGGAAATTACATGGCTTGATTCTGTTACAAATCATCCTTTAAAGGTAGTTACAAGTTGTCCTTTTATTTCTCAGATTGCACATAGGCTCTTAGCATTTGGTAATTCTGAAAAGATACGTGCTATGTGTGACAATTTTTATCCAAGTTCTTTTTGGAGCATTGATTATGTTCCCAGCTTTTATCTTCTTTATGTTCCAATTTTCTCTACATTAAATTTCTCTCTCTCTTGTTCTTAGGATATCTCTGAGCGATTTTAATTAAAAAAATTACAATTAGGATGTAAATGTAGATCTATTATACTTTGAGGGGTTCCTTGTTCTGTTTTATACGAGTATTATGGACTATGGAGTAAGATAGCCTTAGGGTTTGATATAGTTTTCTAAATGGAGTAGAAGAAGTAATGTGTTTTCTATAAAGCTGTATGATTTGGTTAATAGTGTTTGCCGAGAAGAAAGTTCGTATCATTTCTCTTCATGAAATCCTTACTTCTCTGCATTTAAATACAGTCACTAACATAGGCTCTTAACATTTGGTAATTCTAAAAAGATACGTGCTATGTGTGGCAATTTTTATCCAAGTTATTTTTGGAGCATTGATTATATTCTCAGCTTTTATCTTCTTTATGCTCCAATTTTCTCTACATTAAATTTCTCTCTCTCTTGTTCTTAGGATATCTCTGAGTGATTTTAATTAAAAAAATTACAATTAGGATGTAAATGTAGATCTATTTTACTTTAACTGAGGGGTTCCTTGTTCTGTTTTATACGTGTATTATAGACTATGGAGTAAGATATCCTTAGGGTTTGATATAGTTTTCTAAATGGAGTAGAAGGAATGTGTTTTCTATAAAGCTGTATGATTTGGTTAATAGTGTTTGCCGAGAAGAAAGTTCGTATCATTTCTCTTCATGAAATCCTTACTTCTCGGCATTTAAATAGACACACACATATTTATATAATGAGGAGTAAGTAGAAAGAAATGTTATCGAGAAATACTGCTCTTGTGGACCCATTGTGATTTGATCTTTCTTTTTCCAGATGTCCAACTGAAGCCGTCTATGATAGATTTTAGTTGATTATTTTAATGATATTGTGCAGATTGAAAGATCTTTGATCTGTGAGGATACTGGTGCTCTGATTCAGGAACATCCAAAACTTTTTCAGCCCTATAGAAAGTAAGCATGGCTATTATTTATAGTTTTTTATCTAATTAAACATTGAAAGATGCATGCATATGTCCAGTTACATGTAAAATATTGGAGTTAACTCTTATCGGATGTTGACCTTACTAGCAGATTGAATATGCTATGACAATACTATGGCATTGTATTTCTCTCAGTTACATGTAAAATATTAGAGTTAATTCTTATTGGATCTCGACCCAATTAGCATATTGAGTATAATATGACATTGTATTTTATTTTTTGTAGGAAATTATAATATAATATGTCCCTTTCTTCATTTTATTAGATTTGTTTCTGATATTGGGATGACTAGGGACGAATTTGTTCAAGAGGTTATACAAGATATTTCTTCATATGTTATTTGATATACCATAAGCCTTTTTCTAATAGAAACTAATTCATCAAAAGGTTAGAGATAAAATTGTTATTTTTTAATTTTTATTATTCTGTGACACATTACAGTGGCCAACATGGCAACATATGTTCTTGTTTAGTGAAAGCAGTTTTCCTGTGTAGAGTCTCATACTGTTGGTCTGGTGCTTGTGTTGTTGGTCCATCAGGGTTAAAAAATGTTCTCTGATTTAGGGGGAACTTCCTGTCACTATAATGGTTGGGTTATTGATTGTCTGGGAATAATGTAGTTTAAGATTTTGATATATGTTCGTAAATTGTACTTGTTAATATTTTAGTTTGTTTTTCTACAACTTTTTCTTAATCAACCCTCCTTTTTTTCCCCTGATATTTCAGTGAGAATGTCAAGTTTTCACCAGATGAAATAGCTGACATAAAAAGAATATCACCTGGACTCCTTTGTCTTCTCGGGTTCAAGCCATTAAGTTGCTTAAAAGATTACTACAACTTGAGACCGTCCACATTTTTATACCCCAGTGACCAGGTTAGGAAAGCGAAGTGTGATATACTACAATCATTTTACATTGGAAGATAATCTTGATTAAGATTGCTTTATCAAACAATGGATCAAAAGTTTATTTAAATCTATTGCTTGATGTGTGTTTTCTGTAAATGACTGGAACTCTAATGCAATCATGGAAAAAGAAGGAAATTGATCTAATTGTCAACAAGGCAGATTTAACTGTGGCTCCTAATTCCTCCTTTAAAATAATAGGATCTGGTGGTGAAGAGTTTATCAAATCAATATCTTACAGATATGTCCAGAGTTTGGTTTTGTTTTCTTTATACTTGAACAAATAATATGATTAAATTGTTGCTTGTGAAAAAATATGCTGAGATATTTAGTTTTTAACTAAGAGCACTAGATTTTTCTCCATCCATCCTACTGACCTTCAGTAAGCTCCCACCTAACCCTTTTTTAAGATAGTATTGTAAGATGTCCGCCTAGGTTTACAATATGTACTCCTGATAAAGCATATTTTCAATATAGGTGAACATATATGGGGCAAATAGCTGGTCCAAGCTTAGTTCAATTTTGGAGTACAGATTAAGTATCTTTCGAATTGGCCTTTATGCTTGCAAATGAGCTTAAATTATTATCTTTAGGAGTCAAACTAACCTGATTATCTTCCGGTTAATTAGTTGCAGCATATGATGCTGTAAGAGAGTCGCTGGTATTATGATGTGGATCTTATGCAGGCGTATATTTGTTATGGTTGTCCTTATCTTTAATGAAACTTGCTTCTTTCTTATCTTATTTTCTTAGAATAACTAAAAATTTTGCTGCTTTTCCAATATAGGAAGTGGTTGGTAGCACTAGTGTTTTCATTGCCTTGCATAGGTCTATGCTACGGCTTAAGCGGTTAGTATTTTGCAACTTCACCTTCTATATGCCGGTCTACTGTTGTTCTTCGAACAGAAGCTCCAAGAAGTTGATAACTTATTATTGTTCTTGTTACTTAGTACATAATACTTACGAGTTGCTTTTGCATCATTGCAGTTTTGCAGTTGCATTTTTCGGGGCTGTATCTCATCCTCAATTAGTTGCCTTAGTTGCCCAAGTAAGACATCTGTTTCATCTTTGACTAATGCATCTGGCCTAGCCATCTTGTGAAAGTCTTTATTTGGGAAATTGTTGTCCATTGCTTGTCTTGCTATATGTTGTCAACTTATTATTTGTTTCAGTTTTCCCTCACTAAATGCTTAGATAATATAAGCACCATAGTGTACTTATCCTCTCCGCCACATGACACAATTAGAATGGCAAATTATGCTATTCAAAACTGAAGTATAAAATGGGACCTTTTCCTTACATTTTTGTTCATAGAAACAATTGTGATGGCTTATCAATCTTATTGAAACTTCACAGGATGAGGTTACTAGTGCTGGTGCTCAAGTGGAGCCGCCTGGAATGCACATGATTTACCTTCCATACTCTGATGACATTAGAGATGAGGAAGAGGCAAGGAATTTTTTATGAGTCTATGCTAAAAAAATTTCTGGTCGTGTTATCAATGATAGAATTGGGGATATTTCACAGATTTTTCCAGATACAGCTGATGATGCACCTCGAGCTGATGAGGATCAAATTCAAAAAGCTGCTGCTTTAATAAAACGTATTTACTTGAAGGATTATTCCAATCACCAATTTGCTAACCCAGGTAAGCTGTTATGTTTCACTTGTATGCCATCTTTCTGTTGCATAGATTCACAGACTGTTCTTTTCCAGTCTAATGAAAATCCATAAACGATTTAATACGCTGTAACCCTGGAATTTTAGAAGGGGACGTGAGAAGCAATTCTTCTGTTTCAATATGATTGAAGTTATGAATCATAATACACATCAGTCCTAAGTTATGCCATGGAACTGCAATTTGCTTACGAACCTGAATATTAAAACATACGTGGACAAGGTTAAATCATGAATTGATATAATTTCAGTCGATTGCTTTTCTTCTATATGTGCAAGTTTATGTAATTACCACTTGTCGAATAGTATTGGTTTCTTTTTTTCAAGCAATGTAAGTAATTTTGAGGTTTGATAATAGCAAATTCCAAGGTATCCATTTTTTTCCTCGTTGAAGTGAACCTGTGTTATACAGTTATACTATGTTGAGTCGGTCACTGTTTCAGCTTTGCAGAGACATTATGCGGTATTGCAGGCTCTAGCTTTAGAAGAAGACGATATTCCTGAGATCATTGATGAGACAGCACCTGATGAGGGAGGTTTGGCTAGGTAATAAGGATTTGGCTTGTATTCTTAAATTCTTTCATCCGGTTCTGGTCTATGATAAATTTTTTTAGCCTACCCACTGGTCACTGTGAGGATTTTTCTTTTGCACAGATCAGCAGTTGTTAAGGCAATAGAAGAATTCAAGCTTTCAGTCTATGGGGACAACTATGATGAGGAAAGCAACAATTTGGGTAAAGAAAAAGCGGCTGAAGCCTCTAGAAAACGTAAAGCGGTTGCGGAAGATGCAGCCAAGGGTTTTGATTGGGTTAGCCTTGCAGACAAGGGGCAGGTGAAATTTTAGTGTTTTATCCATGTTTCCATAATGCTTTTCATTTCTTCTCGTCATCGAAATGGGTTCTTTTGAACTAAATTTGGGGGTGATTTTACAAATTTGAATTGGGTTTTCGGATTCTATTTCCCTCTGAATTTGGAATGAACATTAGCATGAAACATCGATTTCGTTGTTGCTAAATATCTGTTCTAAACTCTGTTGAGAAAAATGAAGCCTCGTAAGTTTCTCAATGTGGTAAGAATGCTGTTGATCTTACTCATTTGTTCCTCATTTTGCAGTTAAACAATTTAACAGTAGCAGCTTTGAAGAATTACTTAACTGCTCACAACCTTCCTGTTGGTGGGAAGAAAGAAGCCTTGATCGGCAGGATCTTATCCCACATGGGCAAATGAGCAAAGTTGAAGCCGATAAATTATCGAAGACCGGTATCAGATAAACCCACAAGTCCCTCTAATTGTAATGTTACATTATGTATGGCATTTGCATTTTGTGACTGATTTTCCAGGATAAACGTCTCTTCTAGCGTAGTCATCAAAGCTCTCTGCGCACTTTAGGTTTCCGTAGAACTAAAAATCCGGCTTCGGAGGACTTTGTTAAAGATCAAGGAGAAAAGGTTTTATAGCCATTATGACAATGAACGCCAACTAGTATCCATGATCCATTTTGTGCAACGTTTTGCATATGAAATGAAAGTATCTTTTGATCTGTATATATCTGGATTCAACGGCAACTATGAGTAGGGTTGTTCAATGGAGTATTATGCATAATACATCTTGTGAATCTCTGTTGCTTCCCTTTGGCACAGAGATGACCTGGGCAGGAGGCTGATCGGCCGGTTGGCCGGCTCAAATCAACCGAGCATAGGAGGGCATCTAATATGATATTTTGGTGTGTAGGGTAAAATAAATTATTGAATATCTAGTTAAAAATTATACGAACATGTTCAAAAGTGATTTTACATACTTCTAATATTAAGTACTTCTGAAATTAAAATTATAGTTGGATTCAACCGTTAACTGGAAATATTATCGGTTCGACTCTTGATTTCTTTTTTCTTTTTCTCGAAGATCAGGCACTTGTATTTAGCCCGAGATTTCAAGATTGAAAGTCTAAATACTTGTAATGGCAACTAGTTAAATTATATTAACTGTAGCATTTTGACGATTTATGACATAAGCTTAAAAATGTGTCATTTAAAATTAATTGTATATAAAGCATTATTTTTTTTATTATTTAAAAAATATTTATGAAGAAGATTTTAAAATTTTATCACATAATTTTTAAATTGATAAAATAAAATTATTTCATTAAAATAGATCCCATAAACCAAAACTTATATGAAAAATAAAAAAAAAATCATTAAATTGTTAAAAATTTTAAAAAAATCTAATCGAATCAAATATACACACTCCTACGACTGATCTGTCGTTCACTTTTTCAAAGTGTGAAATCATGTATACATAGAAGTTAAGGAAGAATAAAGACCAAATTCGTCTCTTCGTTCTTGCTAGCCATTATTATAGTATATAACTAGAAAATTGAGCACTAGTATTGGTCTATTAATAGACTAATCTAGATTGAGTACTGCAGAGGTAAGGGTGGGTGTATTAACCTAGTTTGTTCAATTCGCAAACGTGAAAGTTTGAACCCTTGACTTTACTTAAAAAATTTAGTGTCTAATCTCAATATATCAAATGATTGTTAGTGAAATAAATTTTTTTAAATGAAAAAAAGAGAAAATAGAAGAAATATAAACCACATCAGGCCCATCAATATTAATTCCAAGCACAAAATTTTTTATATTATTAGTAAATTAGATTTTCATAATTAAATTTAAATTTATAATAATGTTTTATTTTGACCTTTTTATTTGTAAAAGGTATCATGGTTAGCGATGTCTTTGTATTTTTATAGTTTATGATTTAGGGTTTAGGAAATTTTTTTTTCCCTTTTTTTTTCTTTCCAAAGGTCAACAATTTATTTATTACGTTGTAGAAACTTTCAATTAGAGATAAAATTTGAGTAGTTAGATCTTTGCAGAATAAATCAAGAAAAGAAAAAAGTTCCCTTTTATCCTTTTGGTTTAATTTATTTATATATTGAATATTATATTTAATTTATTTCTATATTATATCTATTTTATATATATTATATATATACTAAGGGCCACTTCTGGTACCACCAATTTCCACACAAGTCTTCTTAATCTCGAACAACAGATTGACCGGAGAAATTCCATCTTCTAAGTGGAATATCGGGTTTGATTCTAATACTTTTGATTTGTTTCATAACAACTTGAGCGGAGCAATTCCAAAATGAATGGCCTATGCAAAACTTGTTTGTTTATATTTGCATATGAATCATTTCCATGGAGTCATCCCTGATTTTTTGTGTTGCGTAAAAATAATTCATTCTTCTCGATTAATAAATAAAGGGAATTTAACTTAGTAAAATAAAAGTAAAGGTCGATCTCACATAGACTAAGGAATCTTCCCTGTTTATTCATGCTTTGTTTAATCTTTGAGCCAAGAAGTGGAAGTAGTAGAATTTGAGTAATGGTGGGGATTTCAAAGAAATAAAATAGAAGAAAGAAAAATAAAAAGATTTCAAAAAAGATTAAAAAGAAATTTGAAAAGAAAGTTTAAAATAAAATTCAATATGGTAAAATCAACCTTGAGTTTTTGCTCTGACTAAATTTCCTTCGAATAATCGAATTAGATTTTCTCTTCGGGATTCTCGTCAGTTGCTTTGTCTACAAGGCCAATCCTCGTGACTCTTCTTTGTATACCGAATACCCAAGGCAATATTTGATTCCAACTTCGGAAATTGATCTGATTAACATCAATTGTCGAATATCAATAACCGTTTAAGTTCGTGAAGACCGACTCGAATTGTTGTTTCAACAACTACTAATTACAATCTCAATTCCCTCTTAACAATGCAATCTTGCCAAATGTGTTCTCAAGAAGTCGAATGTGCTTTCAATAAGTCAATCATTCTTCTCATACATTTAATCGCGACAACATCTTGACCAAAGTCAATATTTGATTTTTGAAAACTGTTTTGATTTTGAAAATAAGCTCAAAGATTGAGAGAGATATTATGAAGTTATTCAAATGCTTTTCAATTCTCACGTTGGAATTGAGTCATCGCAACATCTTGATCAAAGTCAACATTTTTATTTTCAACCAAAAGGATAGAATTGGTAGAAGAATTACTATGTTGTTTTCTTTGCAACTGATTGAGTTGTTTCAGGGGTAAAAGGTAATGTTATTTTCTCTCGAGGACTCTGGTTTGAGCAACTACGTTTGTAGGGTATGTGTTCTAAGTTCTAAACTAGAAGTAAAGACTGTTGATAAAGGTATCTATTTGGCGTGATTTAGCTAGTGTAAATTATTGTTGCGGAAGACGCCTATTGGATAGAGCAAAATCGCAACTAATAATTTGAGAAAATAAAAATGAAGATAAAAGAGACATAAAATTTACGTGGAAACCCCCTAAATAATATAGGGTAAAAACCACGGGCAACGGTAGAAGAATTTCACTATGAGAAAATAGGAATTACAACTTCTCTCGACCTACCAAGGAGAAAACAATGATAATTCTCTCTTGATAAAAAGGAGAAAACAACTCTCAAGAAACTCTCTAAATTCTCTCTAGTATTGGAAGAAAGCTAGAATGCTTTGGGATGGTTTTGAAGCTAAATGAGCTAGGGTATTTATAGTTGAAACTTAAGGATTAATCTTGTAAATACCCTAAAGTTCAATGACTAATTGCATAGTTTTACCATCCAAAATATTCAACAATTTGGTGGCCAAATTTGACTAATTTTGCCGCCCATTAATGCTGCCAAATTGCCACCCATAATGTTGACTAATGATGCTATTTGGAGCCAACTTTCAACAATCTCTCACTTGAAGATTTGATTGGAACAATCATATCTTCACACCATTCTTTCTACTTTGTACCTTTCATATTGCTTATGTCTCTGACAGGCCACAAGAGGATCGACACCAAGTAAATTTATCAGCATTGATTGTCTTCGTCATGAAATCTGCTATGTTGTCTTTGGTATGTATTTTCTGCATATCTACCGTCCCTTCTTCCACCTTTTCACAAATGAAATGGTAGTGAACTCGTATGTGCTTTGTCCTTGAATGTAATGTTGTATTCCTTGATAGATGCAAGACGCTTTGACTATCACAAAACAGAGAGACATACTCTTGATTGTGCCCAAGCTCCTCCAATAGCATCTTCAACCAAATTGCTTCTTTATTGGCTTGTGTAGCTGTTACATATTCTGTTTCTGTTGTTGACGTAGCCACAACTGACTGCAATTTTGAAACCCAGCTTACAACCCCCAACAACTTTGAACACATATCCTATAGTAGATTTGCTTTTATCCAAATCCCCTACATAGTCGGAATCTACATAACCATTGATTAATAAATTTGATCATCTGTAAAATAATGCAACATTTGAGGTCCCTTTCATGTATCTCAGGATCCTCTTTACTATATTTCAATGCTCTTTGTCTGGATTCGCCATGTACCGACTAACCACTCCCACTGCTTGTGCAATGTCTGGTCTTGTGCATATCATAGCAAATATTAAACTTCTCACTGCTGATGCATACGGTACTCGAGGCATCTCCATCCTCTCTTCTTCACTGCTAGGACTCATACTGGAGGATAATTTCAAGTTAATAAGAATAGGGGTAAAAATTGGCTTACAATCTTGCATGTTGAATCGTGACAAGATCTTCTTCAAGTAATTCTTTTGTGAAAGCCAAATCTTCCTATTACTTCTGTCTCAGTGAATTTGCATCCTTAGAATCTTGTTTGTTGATCCCAAGTCCTTCATTTCAAATTCCCTAGCCATTTGTGCCTTCAATTCTTCAATATGATCTTTGTTGGGTCCTGCAACCAACATGTCATCCACATACAACAGCAATATAACAAAATCGTTATCACCAGACCTCTTGAAATAAGCAAAAGGGTCTGCATTAAGTATGTTGTATCCAAGGCACATAATGAAGGAATCAAATCTCTTATACCAACACCTCGGTGCCTGCTTTAGACCGTACAGAGATTTGTTCAACCTACAAACCAAGTTCTTCTTTTCTTTTTCTTCAAAACCTTTAGGCTGAAGCATGTAAATTTCGTCTTCAAGATTTCCATGAAGAAAAACTATTTTAACATCTAGCTGCTCTAGATGTAAGTTCAATGTAGCACACATTGCCAAAACTACTAGAACTGTTGTTAGTCGAACCACAGGAGAAAATATTTCATTGAAATCAATATCTTCTTTTTGAGCATATCCTTTGACCACCAGTCTTGCACGATACCTCTCAACTTGATCGTCACCGTTTCGCTTGATTTTGAAGACCCATTTGTTACCAATTGGATTCATTCCTTGTGATAGTGACACAAGGTCCCATTTATTATTTTTATGAAGGGCTTCAATTTCTTCTTGCATCGCCATCATCCACAGTGACGCATCTGAGCTGTTTATTGCCTCCTGGTATGTTGATGGCTCACCGTCATCTGTTAAAAGGCAGTATGCAATATTACCTTCTATAACATAATCTGAGTGCCAATTGGGACGTCTTCTCACACGATCTGATTGACGAGTTATTGGAACTTCATAACTCTCTGATTCTTGTTCATCATGTGCTGGTTCTGCTTCAAAAGAATCTTCTTGTTCAAACTCCTTTTCCACATGTATCTGTGTAGTCTCTGACTTTTCAGCGCTATCATCGTCTTCTTTTCTTTGTAGCTTATCTTCTACAAAGATAACATCCCTGCTAATGATCACTTTACGGGCAGTGGGATCCCACAAGCGATACCCCTTTACTCCATTAGCATACCCCAAGAATTTACATTTCCTGGATTTTGGATCCAACTTTGAAATTTCTTGGGCATTGTACATCACGTACACAATACTGCCAAATACATGTAGGTTTGAATAATCAACTGGTTTACCAGTCCACATCTCCATTGGTGTCTTCAACTCTATTGCAGTTGATGGAGCTCGATTCACCAAATAACATGCGGTATTGACTACTTCTGCCGAGAATGATTTTTCTAGGCATGCATCCCTCAACATTGCTCTTGTTCTTTCTAACAAGGTTCTGTTCATCCGCTCTGCCACTCTATTTTGTTGAGGAGTGTTTGCCACTGTGAACTGTCTTTTGATGCCTTCTTTCCTGTAAAAGTCATCAAATTCTTCACTTGTGTATTCTCCTCCATTATCTGTTCTGAAACACTTGATCTTATTTCCAGAATCAAGTTTCACCCGCTCTTTGAAATTTTTGAAAGTGGAAAACACATCTGACTTCTTCTTAATAGGGTACACCCAACATCTCCTAGAGTAGTCATCAATAAATGAGACAAAGTATTTTGCTCTACCTAGGGATGCAACTGGTGCTTTCCATATGTCAGAATGAACCAATTCTAGAATATTTTTGCCTCTAGAATTTGATGTGTTGAATTTCAACCGATATTGCTTACTTGTTATGCAATGCTCACACAAAGGAAGTGATACCTTTGTTAAGCCTTGAAGTAGCTTTTTCTCCACAATGACTTTTATTCCTTGTTCTGACATGTGTCCAAGTTTCTGATGCCATAGCATTTCAGAATCTGAACTACATGAGGTAACAGATGCTTCTGCTTCTAGCAAAGTTTCTCCCTTCAGCATGTACAAGTTTGCAGCTATCTTTTCGCCTTTCAGCACCACAAGCTCTCCACGGAACACCTTCATGATTCTTTTTCGTGTTTCAATCTTGCTTGCATTATTATCCAACAATCTGTAGGATAATAAATTTTTCTTCAGACCTTTCACGTGCCGCACATCTCGAACAACTTTAATTGTTCCATCACACATCTTCAATTTGATGGTTCCCACGCCAATGATCTCTAAGGCATGATCATTGCAACTATACACAGATCCTCCTGAGATAGGTTCATAATGATGGAACCATTCTCTTCTTGAGGTCATGTGATATATTGCTCCCGAATCAATGAGCCATATGTCTGTATATCTCTTTCTACCTTCTACGGTGGTTGACACTTCACAGCATAGAGCATCTCCATCATCTGAAGTGTTTGCAGTATTGCCTTGTGGATTGAAGTTTTTATTTAGACTCCAATAATCCTTCTTCAAGTGACCCTTCTTTCCACAGTTGTAGCACTTTAAATTCTTCTTGCTTCTCGACTTCGGTCTACCATGTTTGTGACTGCTGCTTTGGCCACGTTCTGTTGATCTCCCTCTCATTGTTGTCAACGATTCTGCTTGTTGCAGATTTACTTGTCTGTCTTCCTTGTTCTTGTGCCGATTTTCTTCTTGTAGAACAGTAGCTGCAACGTCATCGAAGACTAGACTGGTGACATTACTATTTGTCAAGTTGATGATGAGTTGATCATACGAATCCGGTAGACTTTGAAGTAGAAGTTCAGCACGTTCTTGTTCTACTATTTTACAGCTTAAGGATGTAGCTGAGAAAATAAAGTGTTCAGTGTGTTTAAGTGTTCCGTCACTAAAGTAGATTCTGATATCCGGAGAGTATACAATTTCCTCTTAAGGAAAATTTTATTGTGCAATGATGTGGCCTCGTACAATTTGGTGAGATGATCCCATATCTCCTTAGCTGTCTTCTTCTCCTCGATGCTTGACAATACATCATCTGCTAATGCTAGATGAAAGTTTGTCATAGTATTCCCGTCCATTTCGATCCATTTGTTGTCGTCTGTGAAATCTACCAGCCTTTCACTGATAGCTGTCAGACAACCGTCTTTCCTCAGGATGGCCTTCATCTTCAATTTCCACAATGAGAAATTTCTCCCATTAAATTTTTCAATATCAAATTTTGTTGTCATAACTTCTATTACGGATAGGTCCCACTATTTCACTATCGTGAATAGTTCTCTGGAACCTTCAAAGAATGAGTAATAACTTCTTACTTTCGTATGTTGGAGGATCCACCTTTTGGTGGCAACCACAAAAACAATAAGCAGATATTACACACTCAAATCTGGCTCAGATACCAATTGTTGCGGAAGACGGCTATCGGATGGAGCAAAATCGCAACTAATAATTTGAGAAAATAAAAATGAAGATAAAAGAGACACAAAATTTACGTGAAAAACCCTAAATAATATAGGGTAAAAACCACGAGCAACGGTAGAAGAATTTCACTATGAGAAAATATGAATTACAACTTCTCTCGATCTACCAAGGAGAAAACAATGATAATTCTCTCTTGATAAAAAGGATAAAACAACTCTCAAGAAACTCTCTAAATTCTCTCTAGTATTGTAAGAAAGCTAGAATGCTTTGGGATGGTTTTGAAACTAAATGAGCTAGGATATTTATAGTTGAAACTTAATGACTAATCTTGTAAATACCCTAAAGTTCAATGACTAATTGCATAGTTTTACCATCCAAAATATTCAACAATTTGGTGGCCAAATTTGACTAATTTTGCCGCTCATTAATGCTGCCAAATTGCCACCCATAATGTTGACTAATGATGCTATTTGGTGCCAACTTTCAACAATTATGAGTAATTTTCCCCCTTTATATGACTAGAAAGATGGGATAATAGCAGGTTAATTGTCTGTTAATTTTGTTTTCATTTTGAACTGAATGAGAAACTTATTTGTGGTTTTGACTATGGTACTTTTCATGTATGTTCTAGTTGATTTTTTCTGTTTCGTTGAGGTTAATCTTTATTGGCAGCAGGGGCTCATAAATATTACCTCTACATATGAGAGTAGAACACGATATTTGCAAAGTAATTTGGTTGCGAGGGGAGACCTATGGAGAGTAGAGGCATCAAACGGCAGCTCAACATCAGGGAGTGACAACTCTTTGTTTCTTCTTCAGCTTGGACCAGTACTTTTCATTAGGGACACAACACTTCTTTTACCTGTCCATCTGTCAAAACAACATTTGCTTTGGTACGGCTATGATAGGAAGGTGTGACAATAATTTCATGGAATATTTGTTGCTAGTTGTAAGATTTTACATGTTGCGAACAGGAGTACCAAGAAATATTCACTTATGTTCTATTAAGTTTAATTCTGCTAGGCCTTGTGGAACTAAACTGTTGAGAGTTATGCTCAATGTGGTAATTCCATTAAGTTTATATGGATTTTTTTCCCGTTGTACATCATTTGGTCTTTAGTCTTATGTTTAGAGTTTCCTAGGCTAAAATCTTCTGATAGCTATCACAGTTAGCTCTCTAATTATTGTAATAGTAAACAATAGTTCTCATCTAGAATATAAAGATGCTAAGGGAAGATATAAAATTCCTAGAAATCTGGACAATGGAATATATTTTAATTTGAACTGATATAGGATCTTGCTTAAGTTAGAGTAAAAGCTTTAAGGTTAAGTTTCATTATCTTGAAATTCTATTCTTATTGTTTTTTCTTTTTCTTTTTTCTTCCCTTCGAGTTTTAAGCGTTTGGGTCAATTAGGTGACTTCATACATCATTTTTCTTTCTGATAAGACACGTATTCATTTTACATAGTTGTGCATGTATATCTGGTGAGGGGCTTACTACAAGTGCTTTCCAACCACTTTGTGGGGGACTTCTTCAGGCACAGGGCCAATATCCAGGAGAAATGAGATATAGCTTCTCCTGCAAGGTCAGTTCCTGAGCTTTTAACTGCATTACAGGAAGCAAAGAAGTAATTAGTTAGGATTTTGTTAAACGAATCTGCCTCTAGGATTTATTATTTCATTTCGGGTGCCTTTTATGAGTGCTGAAATTCTTGTTTCGATATTTCATCAGAATAAGTGGGGTACTCGTATCACACCAATGGTGCAATGGCCAGACAAATCATTTACACTGGGTCTTTCACAAGCCTTGGCTTGGAAGCAAACGGGACTCATGATGAGTCCATCCATTCAATTTAGGTGAGTTTCTACTAATTTCAATGTTTCACTCTACATACATGTTTGTTCTGGTTATCAGTGCGGTAGTCATTTATCTATATTGTTTATGTTTTCCATTTGCATCCTGCATGATGCTAACCAGTTAGTTTCTACAATTATGATCAGTTTGTTCCCAACATTTGGTGGAAGTAATCCGGGGTTGCAAACCGAAGTTGTTCACACGATGAAGGAGGATCTCAATCTGATTTGTGGTTGTGCTCTGGCAGCACATCCTTCTGCATTTGCATCAATATCAGTAAGTTACCTTATTGCGAAATCTTCTATAAATGTCATTTAATATATAGAGTTTTTAGATTTGTGGTTGTTCTACTTGGCTTCTAGAATTGAATTCTTTTCTGGAGTGTTCTTCTCGATGGTGGTGCCCATAGTCAATTTCTGTCTACCAATCATGCAGTTTGGACACTCTAAGTGGAACGGAAATGTCGGAAAGTCAGGGATAGTAGTAAGAGTCGACACACCTCTATCCAATGTCGGCAGCCCATCTTTTTCTGTTCAGATAAACAACGTCATCGAGTTCTGATCGTTTGACATCCAAAGCCTTCTGTTGAAGTGTATATAGAGACTCGTCGCACATAAATTAAATGATACCACATGTGAATATCAGAATGCTACCTGTGTTAACTATATTAATCTCTGATCCAACTTTGGAGATTCATCTGATGGTTTTTACGAGATGATCAGGTCAAAAATATGGTTGCTTAACTTGCTTCCTGTTCCTGAAATGAAGCATACAATGGTTCTTGGTCACCTACAAATCATGTTCCATCTGTGGTGTGCGTGATGTGTATGTTTTGAGTATCAACCTCAGGTGAAATCGGAACAATTAAATATCAGCTCGGCAATACGATATGCTAAAATAATGTCGAAGCACATGTGTGCCAGGACATGCTGATCACCCTTTACAGCTACGGTAGCTAGCGTGCAATTTGCATACACGATTGATTCGCCGTCGCCATGGTTCCATGGTTAAAGCTTCACAGCGGCAGAGTATGTCAAACAGATATTGCTTTGAAATGTGTGTCATACTGCATTTTATCCTCTCCCCTTTCACCTACAGCATATAATCTCTGATGAAGCAATCACAAAGGTCCAATCAGATTCAAGATTTCCTTATAAAATTCATATTACAGTTGATTCATTGTCCCCCAAGTCCCTTAGTGAAACCCTTTTTCCAAATTATAGCCATGGATGAACAGAAAGTTCAAGAGAGAGATTATGTTGCCAATGGTGATCTACCAGAATTTCATATCAGACACTGCGAAATCCCAGAGTCAATCTGATGTGTTACAATGTTGTTTGATCAAGTTCTTGGTAGATGGGGTTGATATGGTATTGAAAGATGCAGAATCTAGGAAAATGAATCAACTTGCCAATGACCTGGATTCTTCTCCGGGGGAATGTAGCTGCAATCCAAAAAATGAGAATACCGAATGTAAAGATTCTTGGAGACATGGATTCTCCTATGTTGAATTCTTCATGAATTTTCTTGCTTTTCTTTTGGTTCTTATGATCAAACTTGTGAGGTTTCAGTTCAATCTTATAGTTTTCTTTTTCACGTTTCCAATCTGGTTTTCCTACTTTGTTTTCATGTCTTTGGTGTTTTCATTACAAGCAGTGACACGTATTGTTATAATGTCAAAATAAATAGCCTTAATCCCAACAAAATAAATAAAAATAAGTAGAATAGTGAGAGTAAGGGTTGATCCACAAGGATTAGGAGTTTGACGATTTCCTCACTTTTGATATAGTTTCGGGAGTGATTTGTAAAAGAAATTATAGAGGGATTTTGGAGAATTGAAGTGAAATAAAAATGATTGAAATAAAAGTAAATTAAGAAAATAAAATTCAAATAGTAAAAATCATCCTTGGGCTAAAGCTTTTGCATTGATTTTAATCGATCATTGAATAAGATTTTACCTTCGAACTCACGCAGGTTATAGTCTAAAGAGCCCAACTCATATCTCAATTGAGAATTTAACCCGATTTCATATCTCAATTCTTTGTAAGTTAATAGCGACAATCACTTATTAATTCAATGCTTTTAAATTCTGGAAAACCCCCGACTCGAATTCTATCGTCTCAATTGAGAATCTAACCCGATTTCAGTTTCTCTTAATGGGCTGCCGCTAAGTGTGTTCACAGGAAGTCGAATGTGTCACAGACCGATCCTTCCAACTATTAATCAAAACCGAAATTCAATTCCAACGTGCACTTTTTGAAACGAAATTGCTTTGATCGTAAAAGGATGATCAATTACTGATCCTTAATTTCTGAAAATGTAACCCTTGAGGGGTATGAAATGCTTTTTGATTATCACGACTTATAATCGAGTCATTGCTCTAGCCCTTTGCTAAGGAAAACTTAGATAAGCATTGTAGAAATAATACTTAGCATTTTGAAAGAAAACTAAAGTAACTTTTATAAATCTAAAGAAAGAAAAATAAAAAGAACAAAAACCTTTTATAAATCCAAAGAAAGAAAGAAACAAGGGAGTTTGAAAATGATTGAATGCTTAGGTGATGAGTTGAATATGCTTTGAGGTTGGCCCAGTATTTTTAGTCCTCAAATACCCTAAAAAATAATATTTAAAACAAAAGATAATTTCTAAAAATAAAAATAAGATAAATCATATTTTAAAATAAAGAATTCGGCACCAACGAAATGAATCCGGTTTAAAAATGAATATTCAAAAAGTATGTTGCATCTGAAATGAATCCTAATTTAAGCTATATTACTTTTAGCATTTCGTGTAAAATATTTCGGATGCAACATACTTTTTGATTAAGTTATAAATATAGTTTTTGAATTATTTTTATACTCAATACGACTCTTAAACTTAAAAAAATGGATGTGATCATTTGATTAACGGGTTTTTTCATGATTATGACGATTGACGTGGCCAATCTATATCATCAATCATGTGAGTAGCTATTGTGGCCGTCATGTTGACAAAATTATCATATCAATACTATAACAATCAAGAATGAGAACTGTTGATCAAATTAATTCATCTGAAATAATTTTATTTTAAATTCGATATATAAAATAAACAAAAGGAGGGAATCTAATTCAAGTTTATTAAAGACAGAAGAGGCCTTAAAACGAACAGAAGGGAAAGAATGTTACGAAACGTAGTTCATAAACGAACCGTTTGTTGCAGTAAAATTTCTCATTAATTTCCAAAAGGCAAACCCTAAAAAGAATTTGTCAGAAAAAAGAAAAAGAAAAATCCTGTCTGCTGGAAAATTCCTTGTGCTTACGATTTGCAGATTACTGCATAAACTTGTCTGCTGATGGGTCACTGTTATCATTTCAAAATCTCCTCTCTACCATTAACAAACATTCTTTTGGAATCTCGAGAAATTCATCAAGCTTTAAAGCCAAAAAGAAAAAAAAAACATGGGAACCGCTGAAAACGATAAATCAAAATAAAGCTTTATAATTTATCAGAGTGTATTGTATTAGAAAGAGGATACTACAGAAAAAGATAACTACCAAACGTAGTTTTACATGCAAGAGTCACGTGCTTAAGCCCCCAAGGCTGAAAGGGTTTGGTTTTCCTTTTTGACCTTGACTGAGACAAGTTGAGAACTTGTAATGTCTAGGGTAGAGAGTTGATACAAGGTTTTCATCAAGAGCAGCACCAAAGGGCCTGCAAATTTAACAAGAAACATAACCCGAGGTCAGCTTCATTAACGGGTTTAGATTAGTTTAGAAAGAAAGCACAAATATTTAAATAATGATTTGATTATCTGTTGTAATGATTGAGATCATGATTTATGGTTAGGCACGGACTTAAGATTTCATACTGAAAAGGCGAACATGTAAACACCAAAACATGTTATCAATAAAAATTTTATAAAAAAAAATTAAAATATAAGGGAATTTAAAATCTTCAAGAAAACTATGGCATCAACCTTCATTCTTGTCTATGATAGTACTTCACTCTAGATGAATATAGAATAAGAGTATTATGTATCATACACAGATGTTTTCGTATCAAGGTTGTTATAACAAGATGATTTAACTTTCAAGCTACTCGAGTTTAGACTCCAAAAATAACTCGAACTCGACTCGGTTATCTTGATTTGAGTTTAGGGTAACAAGAATATGTGTTCAATCTGCTTATATGTTGATAAGTAACAAGAAGAGAAAAATAAAAGAAAGTGTAATTTATATATATATATATGCACACACGCACACGCGGAGTTGCCAAAGAGAGAAGCAATGTACATACACTGAAGCAAGCGATACTGCGAACACGCCACCTGCAAGCCTTCTTTGCATTTTTGAGTTCGGAGAAGGTCAATTCATCTTGAGAGCAAATGACGATGTTACCAGGGGATGTCAAGTAAACGCTTCTTCTCACTGGAGGAGACCATAAACAGCTCTGCTCGTAATCGAAATCGTATTGAGATGCATCGAAGAATTTTCCGAGGAGTCTTTCGGATACCGATTTTGAAACCATCTGTATACTCGGGCTGTTTAACGTTGAACTGCCCGGCGAGGAAGGTGGTGAAGAAGAACAAGGACAAGTTTCAGACACTGCCATGAAAGAAAATATGTTCAAAAGGAAGAAACAAAGAGAGAGGAAGAGAAAGATGGGAGAAGCTAAATTTTGAGGTACCTAGATATATATGATTATAACATACAATACTATAATATTATAGTATCGGGAGAGTTTTATTTATCCTATTCAAAGATTTAATTAACCTAATCTGATTTTAGAAATAATCGAACATTAAATATATATATATAGACGACCGTTTTTATATTCTTTCTTTGCTAGTAAGTTTATAATAAGCCATTTTGAATTTATATATATATATGTTGGGAGTTGGACATATGTTCCTAATATGATGGACAGCATAATTGCAACTTTTGGTTAGGCTGTAAAGTGGCATAATTACTTAAAGGGTTGCATGGTACCATATGGACATCATCATTTTCAATTTTTGGTGACTAAAATAATTTGTATATTCCATTAAATGTAAATTAGTTGTAATTATACCAATATAGTTAGATCATCGCAGATTCTATTTATAATGTCGATATTTTAATTTTTATATTGAAATTAACGTCTAAACTTTGAATTAAATCTTTTTTCTTGCAGATAATATTCGAAGGAACCATGAATGATAAGTTGATTGTTAATTGCCCTTGATCTTTAGAACGACTACTGATATATCAATTATTAGACGATTTCAGTTCATTTTGCATCATCAAGAGACAGAGGCATCAGTTGGAAGGAAGACTTCGGTCTTAGGCATTGAAGGTTCGATCAATGTACCAAAACCAACATTAGGGACCTAATTAATGGACTATATCTCGGGATGGATATGGACTGAGTCAATATTTTGTTCAAACCTATATTCGATCCAAAATTTTTACTTCCCACGTGTAATCCAATTTAATTTAAATTTAGGAAGCAGGTTTCACCCCGACTCTATGGTCTGATTTTTGGGATAAAGATTTTACACTCAACTCGATTTAATATAAAAATTTATAAAAATCTCATTTTATTTGGTAAAATAGGGATTTAATTGCACGAATCAAACGATCTCAATGGTTAAAGGAATGGTTGTTATCCCTAAAGGTCATGAGTTTGAGCACCAGGGATTGTGGGGTATTTCAACGTTCATTATTAAATGATTGAGAGTCTTTAGAACATATATTATCACTTGTAATATAACACCCCAATTTTGGGTCAACATGAGACCCAAAGTTTGAGCCCGAAGGACCTTATAAAATAGTTTAATCGAGTTTAGGGTTAGTGGGATTGGGTTGGGCCCACGAATTTTATTGTGTGGAGATGAGTATTTTATGAAATAGAAAGTAGGGAGACTAAAAGCGAAATTTTCCCATTGTTGTTTTGAAAGCTGAAAACCCCTACTTGTATTATGATTTTTACGTGAACCACCCCCTTAGCTTACCTAATACTCTTCTCATCTTCTCATATTTCTCTCTTCTTCTTCTTTCTAAAGTGAGAAACTTAAAGAAATTCAAGCCTAGTTGGGTCAATCTAAGGTAAGATTATTAAACCTCATCCTTCTAGCTTCATTTTGAGCTCCATTTCACAAGTTTTTAATCATATAGCCCAAAATGAGTATTGAGAGGTTTATGAGAATTAATGGATTCTAGTTTATTTTGGGTGAATTTGAAGGGATTGTGTTTATATTGTAATCAACACACCTAGTTGAGTTAATAACCCATTTTATACCTTGTTTAGTGAAAGATATAAGAGAGAATTCCAAAGCAAGAGAGAAAGAAAAAGTGACTCCTAGTTGATTTAGGAGAAGTTTTAGCAACAAAGGGAATCAGATAACACATTCATAACTCTTCTATACCATTAGTGAGCCATTAGAATTGCAAGATAGCTTAATGGTTGAGTTAAAAACATATTGAGCATGATTATGGTAGAATTCATGTTTTGATGTTTAAGCATGTTATAGAGCCTTCCTTATTATACCTTTTCATTCATAAAACATTAATAATGATTATGAACCTCACTAAGGTATTTGGGTTAGAAGAATAGAATTTTTTGTGCTTATTTTTTCGCACTCTACAGCTTGGGTCTCGATACTGGAATAAAAAATGTTCATCATTCTGGGCAATTTCATTAATTTAAGAGCAGTGGTATCGATACTTATTTAAGAGTATTGATATTTGGGTCACGATCTCGAGACTCCCATGCGTGGTATCAAGACCCATTTTCCAGTAGCCTTTTTAGTTTCGGTACCTTCATAGAGTATCGAAACTAAGTCAATGGTATCGATACTGACCCAACAGTCTGTTTTGGGCAAGAAAGTCCAATTTTAGGGGATTAGACTCGAGGTACCCCAATACTTTTGTATATCAATAAATAAGACTACAAGTGAGAACATTAATGATGCTTAATTACATTTAGAAACGAGATAAATTAAGGGGCATAAAACTAACATTGATTGATGTTTAGGAAACGATCAGGAACCCGAGTTCCTTTAGTAAGATTTTGATGTCGAAGTATATAATCAGTCTGAATATCCTTAAGTAGTGCGCGAGGCACTTAAAGTAACTAACTAGGGTCGAGGCCCAATATTCGCGAGAGGTGGGTTAGTCGAGGGTGTTGTGTCCGATGTAGAGATTTCGGGCCTCATCCTCAGCAGACTAAAAGGGTGCATGAGTTCTGAGATATATAACCCTCAATCGCACCATGATGTCTACCATAGAGTAGAGAGTGCAGTATACGAGTATACTCACTATTTCAATATTATCAGTTAGCTTAAGCATGACATGAACATTTTTATTATGGATTAGTTATTAGTGTGGCACTGGGATAGTTAGCTCAGCATTTGAAATTTGTTTCCTTACGCATGTTAGTTGAGGAGCATTCAAATGACCTTTTTGCCAACAGTGATCCAGATCAGACTAGTGCAGAGTATGTCTCGAGTTCATCTTTAGAGGGCATATATAATTGTAAACCTCGTTTTGTATATTCGAGTCGTAACTTATTTTAAAAGAGGGTATGCATAAGTTGAATTATTATTTTTGGGAGCTCCTGATTGTAAACTATTTATTTAATCTTAGCATGAGTATTTACATATGGTCATTTCAGATTGAAAAATTAAAGAAAAATTTTGGTTAGTCACTCTGGTGGTTCCATGTGGCATTTAGATCGGTCGACTGTGTGTCGTACCGGTTTAGGTGTTATATTTAATGGTATCAGAGCGTCAGGTTTAGATATTCCTAGGTCCCGAAGGTCAGAGTCAGTAAAAATTTATGAATATATGCCTCTAAGGATGTTAAAAGTACTTCTGCTTTTGAAATAGTGATAGTAGCTCCTCGTACTATTTTAATTTCATAGATTAATCATAGATGAGAGCTCATGTCATAGTCAGGAGGGTATGCACGAGAGTAGAGCTTCCCTTGCGGGTGATTTCGGTGATGAGTTTGTCTCTGAGAATGAGTTTGAAGAGCCCAGGGATGCGAGAGTCGAGGAGGAAACTTTCTTTAGAGATATACCGCCACCCTAAGGCGCATAGCTAGAGCCCTACGTAGGACGCCAGCTACCCTATATACCCAACCAGCTCCACCAACCCCACCTGTCGTAACACTGCATGAATTTCCTATTAAGAGGCTCCGGAGATACCATACCACAAATTTTTTCATATGACGAGATGATGACCTCGTAGCGTCTGGTCAGTGGCTAAGAGAGACCCTTAGGACCCTTCGTCAGTTACACCTCACTCATAAGGGTATGCTTAAGTGTGTCACTTCCATGCTGAATGGTGATACAATAGACAAGTGGGAGGTAGTTGAGATATCTATGGAGCTCGAGCGACCTACTTAGGATCACTTCTTGAAAGAGTTTCACTAGAAGTATATAGGAAAGGCTCACATGGACGATCTTAGAGATCAGTTTTTACAGTTGACATAGGGAAACCGTTCCGTGTTTGAGTATGAGGTGGAGTTTATTCGACTTAGTAGGTATGCACCAAAGTTAGTGTCTCAGAGTTTTTTTCTGTAACAAAATTCAGGAAAGGCCTCCGCCAGGATATCCTCACCCATATGTCCGCCAATACACCCAAAGTTTTTACCGAGTTAGTTTGTTAGGAAAAGGTTCTAGAGAAGGTCTTGGGGAGACGAGCTGCAGTGGTGAGTGCTACTTCTGGGCAGGTTAGGAGAGTAGCAGGGTCGTATGTACTACCTCAATCATCTAAGAGGGTGCGAGACTCTTAGGGTTCTTGGAGAACCTCGTCAGGCCAATCTAGTAGACCTGTGCATTAGGCGAGCAAAAGAGGTGGTAGGTTTGATCAACGCAGGAGGACGTTGGTTACCATATCAGTAGCGAGTGTTGAGGGCTCATCAAGGGTACAGTCTTAGCTTGATTGTTCAGTTTGTGGCTTTCCCCATTCCTATATCTGTTATGACCTAGTTCAAGAGAAATCCTAGTTGAAAATCTCAGGATAGGGGTTAGAGTGTCTAGCCGTTTAGGATTAGATGTCCTAGTGGACAAGGTCCATCACAGATGTCCAGTTGAAATTCAAGGTGAAACCTTCCCCTTCGATCTTATGAAGCTGCCTTTCAGAGAGTTTGACCTAATTTTTGGCATGGACTGATTGTCGAAAAACGGTGAGAGCTTGAGGTGTAAGCTTCGACGGCTTAAACTCAAGAAAGAGGATGTGACTAGAATCGTAATGTTTGGTGAGAAGCCCAAGGGTGTAAGGGTTGTGTCAGCCTTTAAGGCGCAAAGGATATTAGAGCAGGGTTGCAAAGCCTTCTTGGCTCATATAGTCATCGCCAGAGTTGCAGTTTTGGGATTATAGGACATTCGAACAGTTAGAGACTTTCCAGATGTGTTTCTAGAGGAGTTGTCAGGTTTACCACGAGATCAGGAATTAGAGTTTGGTATAGAGGTAATGTTAAAGAAGATGCCCGTCCATCTCAGTTGGTAGAGCACAAGGCTCTTAACCTTGTGGTCGTGGGATCGAGTCCCACGGAGGGCATTTCATAATTCGGAGGTCTCCCACGGAAACTGCTCTCAACCTGGCGTTGGGGGCAGCCTACTATCAT